TTTTTAAAGAGTCAGGAGCCTAACCAATTGAACCACCCAGGTGCCCTTCATTTCAGATATTCTAATTGGCTCTTATTTTAATATGCCTGGTCACTTTTAAATTCTGTTACTCTTTAGGGCACCTGGGTGGCTCAGACGGTTAAGCGTCCAACTTCGGCCCAGGTCATGATCTCACAGTTCGTGAGTTTGAGCCCCGCATCAGGCTCTGTGCCGGAGCCCGCTTCGGATTCTGTGTCTCCCTCTCTCTCTGTCCCTCCCGCACTCATGTTGTCTCTCTCTCCTTCAAAAATAAACATTAAAAAAATTTTTTTTAATTCTATTACTCTTTATGTTTTAGCATCCCTCCTTTATGTATTAAATATTAAATATTTATTTTATGTATTGGGTATTTCTTTTTTGAGGGAGCACGCACATGCAAGAGAGGCAGAGGGGGAGAGAGAATCTTTAAAAAATTTTTTAAATGTTTATTTTTGAGAGACAGACAGAGAATGAGTGGCGCAGGAGCAGAGAGAGAGGGAGACACAGAATCTGAGGCAGGCTCCAGGCTCTGAGCTGTCAGCACAGAGCCTGACATGGGGCTCAAACTCACAAATGGTGAGATCATGACCTGAGCCGAGGTCGGATGCTTAACCGACAGAGCTACCCAGGCGCCCAAGACAGAATCTTAAGCAAGCTCCATGTTCAGTTTCTCATGACTGTGAAATCATGACCTGAGTGAAAATCAAGAGTCAGATGTTTAACTGAGTCACCCAAGTGCCCCTTGGATATTCCTAATAGGAAAAACCTGTGTAGATTTGTTTCGGTTGTTTGTGGTTTCTGCTCTTTGCTCATGGAATTTTGATTTTCTCCCTTCATGTTTTGTGATTTTAAAAAATGTGTAAGACTGGGACGCGTGGGTGGCTCAGTCAGTTGGGCGTCCGACTTCAGCTCAGGTCACGATCTCGCAGTCCATGAGTTGGAGCCCCGTGTTGGGCTCTGGGCTGATGGCTCAGAGCCTGGAGCCTGCTTCCGATTCTGTGTCTCCCTCTCTCTCTGCCCCTCCCACATTCATGCTCTGTCTCTCTCTGTCTCAAAAATAAACTTAAAAAAAAAAATGTGTAACAGCTTATTTGTTAGAATTTTAATAATGATACTCTGACAAACAAATGTTTGTCAAGAACATTTATAACTCCCTCTGTGGAAGATTTTTAGTTGTTTCTGTCAGGTACTGAAAAGTGTTAGAGACCAAGGTCCATTTCAAATTAAAATTCTCCATTTGTGGGAGACTGTGAAAATAAGTATTTAGGGACCATGAAAATAGTATAAATTAAGGCCTCAAATCCAAGTGAATGTGAGCCGGTAACCAGGAAGTAGTAGGAGAGATTTGATTTTATTTTTTCAAAGTTTATTTATTTTATTTTAGTAATCTCTACACCCACCGTGGGGCTTGAACTCACAACCCTAAGATCAAGAGTTGCATGCTCTACCAACTGAGCCAGCCAGGTGCCCCAGTAGGAGAGATTTTAACTCCACCCAGAGCTCTATGCCTCTCCAAGATGGTGTCTGATCAGGCCCCCTACACTCTACAGAACCCAAGGAATTTTTCCCTGTCCCATCCCTCTCCATACACAACTTTCTATACTAACAGAAATCCATGCATATCCCCAGAGTATTCAGTGACTTCAGCACTTGCTTACCTCACAGGATGTACTTCTTCTGTTTCAAGCCACAAAAAGTTTCCCTTATTTTCTTATAGGTTCATCCACTCATAATGAAGGTTTTTTAAATATTAAATCTAGTGTTTTTCATCTTTGGTGGGGGGGGCCGAATTCAAGAACTCTTGTCTATCATACTGCCAGAAAGGGAAATCTATTTAATATTTCTATAATTGCTTTGTGAAATTTAAATTAGGATATTATATATATATATATATATGTGTGTACACATATATATATATATTCCTGTATAGTTTTTAGTGTGTTACTGTAATCTTCAAGTATGTGAAGAACATTTATACTCTTGACTGAGTCATTATATTAGCTTACCTTAGAAGTTGTATATCATCTGCAAATCGGTTTCAACTTTCTGTCTTCACCAAAGTCACTGATCAACACAGCTTCTGACAAAAAGAAAAGCTTCAAAATTAATTTTTAAACTTTTATAGCAAATCCAATATATTTTCTTACTGTTATCAGGTATATAGAATTACAAATTAAATTTCCACCATAATCATAGATAGATAAACCAATTAAAACAGGAAAATCCCTATACCCCAATTACTTCAAGTGCCAGAACTTTTAGAAAGTAGCATTGAACTAAGTGAAAATATTTTATCATCAGGGGAAACCAGTAGTGGTATGAGGGGGTGGCTTAGAGAAGGGGAGCCCTAGCACCCCCAAAATATATCCATTAGCCCTCATCTTCCACAGGAAACATAACTTACTTAAGCTAGTATCTCAAAGGCCAATTTTTAGAAACGTTTTTATTTATTTATTTTGAGAGAGAATGCACACATGTGCACACAAGTGGGGGGAGGGGCAGACAAAAAGGAGAGAGAAATCCTAAGCAGGCTCCATGCCTGCAGGGTCCAGCGCGGAGACTGACACTGGTCTCAATCTCATGACCACGAGATCATGACCTGAGCCAAAATCAAGAGTCAGACGCTTAACTGACTGAGTCACCCAGTTGCCCCTAGAGGCCAATTTTTATAAAAAGGCTGTGCAAAGCTTAAAAGAGCTTTTAAGTATCACAAAGAGAAGCTTTGAAGGGTTTTTTTGCTTTTAACAGCATCATAAAAATCCATGCCTACTAGAGTTTTTCTTTCCTACTTCCCACACTTTTAGTTTGCATCTTTTATTAATTTCAGTCATTGATAGCAACTTTCACAAAATTTTTATCTTCGACATCAATATAAGGATATATGTGTACATGTGTTTACATTTCCCCATCAGAAATAAGAGAAAACTTACACTTCTCTCCTTTAGTGCATTGCTCTTGCATGAAGAACATATAAACCACTGACTTAGGGTCTGCATATTAATGTATTTTCTGAGCAGCAACTACTGGTTTAAATAGAACATTTAGCTCCTGATGTTCTTTCTTCTCAATATTTGAAATCCTGCAATAATGTAGTAGAAAAAGCACAGGCTTTGGAATCACATTGATCTAGGTTTAAATCTCAACCTCCCACTCTGTAACTGTCTAATCTGAAGCAAATTATGTAACCTCTCTGTATAGGAATAAAATATCATGATTCTCCATAGGTATACGCAAGAGTCAAATCATATATATATAGTGTCTGACACAGTGCCATATAACATGTACTCTGTTATGTAGCTGTCCTGTGTTTTTTTGTATTTCGCTTCCATTTTGCTCAATCTGTCAAAGAAATTTTGAGACTACATTTTCTTAATTTACAGCATTAACGAACTTCTGTGGTTTTGTTCAACAATTATCGATATTTTACATCTATTTTGCCCAATAATATACATAAAATACTTTAAAAATAACAATATAACAATAATAATGCTAAATCTAGGTCCTAAAGTCATTAGAAATTGTTCCTTTTCTTGTATGGTTATGACACCAAAATGCTATAGTTATGTAAATTTATTTCCATTCCTTCTTAAATTTTTCTTTTAGTTCTTCTTTTTTTCTTAATGTTTATTTTTGAGAGACAGAGAGAGAGAGAGAGACAGAGAGAGAGAGAGACAGAGAGAGAGAGGGGAAGGGGCAGAGAGAGGGAGACAGAATCCAAACCAGGTTCCAGGCTCTGAGCTGATAATACAGAACCGGACTCAGGGCTCGCTCACGAGCCATGAAATCATGACCTTAGCTGAAGTCAGGCACTTACCAACTGACCGATCCAGGTGCCTTCAGTTCTACTTTTTTAATTTAATTTTTGAATATGTAAACATACATGATTCAAAGGTCAAAACTATATAAATAAGTAACAGAGAAATCTCTCATCCGCTGTTGGCACCTTTCACATTCCCTCCTTCTACCTATAGATTATATATTGTTTCATGCCTTTGGGGTTTTTTCTACTTCATAATATATTCTGCAGATCATTCAATGTTGGTACATGTAGACTTTCTACACTCTCTTTTATGACTTCTGGAGAAAACAGCAACTTGGAAGGGGAATGGAGATTATTCCACTATTGAATGTACTTTAGTTACCTAGTCCCCTATTAACAGGCATTTTGGTTGTTTCTAATCTTTTGCTAATACAAGTAATGCTGCTGTGAGTAACTTCATACAAATGCCAGTTTATATTTTATGTCACTGTGTCTTTAGAACAGATTCCTAGAAGTTAGGTGCCCGGGTCAAAAAAAATGCACGTGTAATTTAGTATACATATAATATATGTATATTATACACACGAGTTGGATACTGCCAAATTCCCTCCCAAGATTTGTGCTTTTGTATCCCTACCAGCAATTCATCAAAGTGCCCGTTTCCCCACAATCCACAGAACATATTATATAACTTTGGATTTTGCTGAGAAAGGCTTGAGTGTAGCTATAATTTTTAGTATAGCTTTGGTGGGGGGGGGGGGGGCCACGCACGAGCAGGGGAGGGGCAGAGAGAGAGAGGGAGAGAGAGAACCTTAAGCAGGCTCCAAGCTCGGAGAGGAGCCAGACCTGGGGCCTGAGCATGAGATCATGACCTGAGTTGAAATCAAGAGTCAGACGCTTAACCAACTAAGCCACCCAGGCACCCCTTAGTATAGCTTTTATTTACATTTCTCTTAGTATGACTGAAGTTAAATATCTTTTGTGTGTTTGTCAGCTGCATTTCTTTTTCTGTGACCTCTCATATCTTCGGCCCAATTTTCTATTGGGTTGCCAGTCATTTGCTCTGACTTCTAGGTTATTAGAAGAGATTAGCTAGGAGATCAGCTCTTTGTGATGTAAATTCAATTATTTCTTCCTACCTTGTCACTGATCTTTTTACGTTGCTTATGATACTTTTCATCATGTAACTTTTTTTTAGTGTATGGAATTTATCATCGTTTTCACTTTTTCTGGGACGGAGTCATAGTTATAAAATCCCCGTCTTACAATTTCATAGACTTTAACAATCTGTGCCTGTTCTGCTTTGTATGTTGCTCTTGAGAAATTTGTTCCTAATGTCTTCTGTCTACCTGGAAGCCTAGAGGAATTTTTCACTACTTGAATGTCCAATAGTTTTACTAGGATATGCCTTGGAGTTGACCATTCTAGATCAATTTTTTCAGTACACAATGAGCCTTTTCAATTTGAGTCTTCTGTTCATTCCAGAATGTTTCCATGGATTGAAGTTTAAATATTAGTTCTGCTATTGCTCTTCTCTTCCTAAGAACTCTAATTTTTACATATTGTCTGTATCATTTGCTCTTTATCTTTCTTCATTTAATTTTCCTTCTTCTGGCTATCTTCAAGTCTTTCCTCAATACCTCTTACATTCAGGAACTCTATTCTCCTTTAGGTATCTTGGACTTTAGCTTCATTTTAAAAGATGATTTTTCCGGGGCGCCTGGGTGGCGCAGTCGGCTAAGCGTCCGACTTCAGCCAGGTCACGATCTCGCGGTCCGTAAGCTCAAGCCCCACATGGGGCTCTGGGCTGATGGCTCAGAGCCTGGAGCCTGTTTCCGATTCTGTGTCTCCCTCTCTCTCTGCCCCTCCCCCGTTCATGCTCTGTCTCTCTCTGTCCCAAAAATAAATAAACGTTGAAAAAAAATTTATAAAAGATGATTTTTCTTCATTTTATTTCCTCAGTTCAGCAGATTTACTTTTCACATCTTCCTCTTTTTGTCCATTTGTTTTGGGGTTCTGAATTTGTATTTGAACTTTATCTCTGCAAATGCTTATCCGTGGATATTTAATTCAGGTAGGAGTATTGTGCTGTGGTTTTCTTTAGCTCTTATAGTTGAATATTTTGGGAGAGACTTTTCATCAGCTGAAATATTCTGACTCAAAATTTATGTTTTCTACTTATAGTAACTTTATATGGATGTTATGTGCCAGTGTCTTTTCATTTTGAAATGTTCTAATTTTCCTAAACCAGATTAACAATAACATATAGACAGGAGTGAGGGATTTAGAAAAATTACTAGATTTTCTAGTTCAACAGCACCTTCTGTTGGTTTGATAAAGTACAGTTTTTTAAATCATGATTCCTTTTTGGGTGAGAGTGGTTGATGTATCTTCTTTTTCATCAAGATCCCTAATTTCTACTATCTTTTCTTACTCTTACCACCAGGTCTCCAAGTATATGGTGTCCCTTCCAACTCTCCTCTTATCTCAAAAGCAATACCTTTCTCAGACTGCCTCTTTGGTCCCATGAGCTTTCAAGTCCCTTCCTTTTGTCTAACAGGTCTCAAATTTGTTAGTATTTCCTTCCTTAGGGTAGGGCTTTCACTTTCTGGAGGAATTTTATCTGCATTCTACTGATTCTAGATCTTGCTTCCTTCTCCTGTTCTCAACAGTGTCAACCTCATTTGCCACTTCAGCATGGGTGCCAGAGCTCACTCTGCTGCATTTCAGCATTTGCTTCCGTACATACCCATAATTTGAAATTAGTTAGGCAAGGATGGTGGTGGTTTTATTTGCTCTCTTTATAGATCTGTATGGTTTTTAAAGAATGTATGGTGAGATCTGGATTTAGAAAGTTACCATAGTCCTACAGACACCTTTAGTCACGTGTTATTTTTTATTTTAAAAATTATCTTCCAGTTTTATTGCATGTGATCAAAAGTTTGACTTTGGGGGGGGGGAGGACTGAGGTTTTCTTTGTGGTCTAATATAGCAGATTTTTTAAAACTGTCTCCTGTGCACTTGAAAAGATGTATTCTCCATTAGTGGACTCAAACTTTGATATAAATCTAGGAGATTTACCCTACAATATACTTAGTGGTACTAGAAAGGTGTGTGAAAGTCCTCTATAAGCAGATTTCTAATTCTCCTCACATCCCTTATAGTTTATACTTCATAAAAGCTGTTGATGTATTATTTAATAAGCATTTAAAAAAAAATCTTAATTGTGAATGTAGCCCTTAACTTGGACAATATCCTTTATTTTAATGCTTTTTGAATTAAATCCTGCCTTGTCTGATACCAAGATGAAAACCCTGTTTTAAAATTTGCATTTATCTGATGTATCTTTGGTCTTCCCTTGATTATTGTTTTTTAAATTCTTCATTTATTAATTCCCTTTATTATTAATAACTTGTATAGCTCTACCTTTTGTATACACAAATCTGAAAACCTTTTTCATTAAGTTGAGCCCATATATTACTAATACATCTGATATTTTTGGTGTTATTGGTAACTTTTCATGTTTTATACATTTTGAGTATCTGTACATACAAATACTTATAGAAAATGTGTGCATTTTAGTTTTTAGCCATTATATGGAATATGTAATGGCGTCTCATTATGATTTTAATTTGCATTTCCCCAAGGACTCTTCTATGCTTTTCTCAAGAAAAGTGAAATGAAACCTAAACTCACTTCTCTGCAGATATTTATAACAGTTGTATTTGTAATCACTAAACACTGGAAATAACCCAGATGTCTCTTAATTGGGGAATGGGTTTTTTAAAACTGCAGTAGTACATCCCTGCAATGTAATACAGAAACAAACCTCTTCCTAGTGCAGGATAACATAAATACACAGGGAAACTGACTATGCTATAAATACATACTGTTATAAGAAAAAAAAACATAAAAATGAGCCATATAACATTACATTAAGGAAAAGATGACACCCTTGAAAGAACCCAACAAATCAGAAATAAAAAGAACTCAGAAATGAGATGACTTCAACCTAGAAGTGAGACTGCCAGGTCTCATAATAAAGGCATGTTTGATTTTCTAAAAACTGCCAAACTGTCTTCCAAATGACTGGTATTTGCAGTCCCACCAGCAAGATTTGAATCCTGTTGCCTTGCATCCTTGCCAGCACTTGCTATTTTTTTTCATTCCTTCCTTTTTTTTTTTTTTTTTTTGGCCATTCTATATAGGCTGCATAGTGGTATCTCATTTCATTTCCTCAATTACTATTCTATACTTTTCTCACTTAACACAAAATGGTGACCTTTCTCCAACATCATTAAGTACCCTGTATCATTAAA